AATAAATAAATAATAAATATCTTAGTTTTTGGAGACATGTCTTTTGGTCAGATAAAATTGAATTTGCATTTAGAGGAAAAATAAGTCCTCAACAAAGCCTTAAAAACACTGACCAAACTGTGAATTATGGGAGAGGTAGCTGTATTGTTTGGCAGTGTTTAGCTAAAAAAATAAAATAAAATAAAAAGAGCTACTATGCTTTGAAGAATAGATGGCAAAACATATTATGAGAAGAAACTGAAGCAGCAAATTAATTTTCCAAATGGATAATGACCTTTGACGTAATGTCAAATTAGTTGCAAAGTGGTTTAAGTACAATAATGTTTGTGTTTCAGACTGGCCATCACAAAGTCCTGACCTTAATTTCTTAGAGCTGAAAGAACCTAGGGGCCCAAATTCAAGCAAACTATTGAGCTTGTTGAGGGACACCAAGAACATTTCTCTCAAGTCTCAGAGAGTTTAAAAGAAAACTACAAAATACTAAAGAAATAGATGGAGACATCAAATTTGGAAAACAGAAAAAAAAAACTATTTTTTTTTATTATTGTTTCATTTTCAGTGTTACTGTTGATTAACTTCTCGTAAAAGTTTTGTTTGAATGTTTTATTCACAAAAAATAAAATAATAAATGTGATTTTAAAAATGAAAGCATATAGAACTCTACAAGGATTGAAAGGTACGCAGTAATACGTGTGCATCAGTTTTATTAGCAGTCTGTCTCGCTGACAGGATCACATGGTTTGAAAATTATTTCATCATGTTTGAGTCCAACAGTGGGGACCACAGAGTTATCTTCTATTTTTGTCCCACTCAGCCATATATTTCAGAGGCCAGGAACAATGTAGTCTGACAGACATATTCTTTATGAGGGGCTCGTGGTCTCTCTAATTTGACACAGTTGTCAGAGATAAAGCTCCTTAGAGAGTGTGGCCATGCTCAGGGTAAGAATGGGGATTAAATTAACACCCCCACCTTCACATCTTCTGACCCCAATACAGGGGAATAAAACATACAGCGTGACTCACTTCAGCACCCAATGTCTCAGTTCCAACTTCACCTATGGGTGTATTTTGATTTTATTACTAAGGAAAGCAATAATACTTGTTCCAACTTCCACACTCTAAGATAAGACAACTTTTAAAAAATTAACAAGATCTTGGGTTAACATGGATCTTGAATATAGCAAAAAACAATAATAATTGGGGTTTGGGGAGATGCTTTTTATACAAAGAATGTGGTTGTTCATCAACACGCATCTTGGCAATAAATGTGGGTAGTAAAAGGAAACAGCTCGCATAGTGTAACAATACACCACCTCTCCTTAGTAGCCTCCTATCAAATGACCCGAGCACGTAAAATCAAATCAACACTGGAATGGATCATATCAAATTCTAATGAAAACATAATGTGCTCTTAAAATGTGTGTTGGCTCGGCAGCCAGTCATCCAGAGAATCTTCCCCCAGATGACGTGATGAATAGGGAACACCGTTGGAATATGCATCAAAGTCGAGCTCATGATTTATGTAATAGCAGTCACTTGGACACTGATTAGCTGCTCTGTCAAGCGTGTAATACGAGAGGCACAACCCCTGGTTTATCAGTCATTTATCTGAAGTGCGTCCTGATATTATCACTAGATCCTAATGTCATCATTATGCCGCACAGCATGTGCGGGCCAATGTGTCAGGGTGCCGGCGACATTGCCTGTCAGGAGTTCAAGCCTCTTCATTTGCAAAAATGCTCAGACATTCATAGCACTGTGTCAACAGTAAAATAGGAAAGACACATCATATCAGAGTCAGAGGGACAGAAGCACACAGGTGTACTAAATAAGTGGGCACTCGAGGGGTACAGAGAAATTTAGCCGGCGTCTTTGTGGCTGAGGAGAAGCTTGCATGATGATCAGGCTAATTCTTCTGAGAGGAGGGGAACTACAAGGAGCCAACATTAAAAGAACGAAACAAAGAGTCTTTCAAGAGAATAGATAGCTTTTTAGCTTTTTCACATTTTATCATGTTATAAGAATAAACTTTCATTTATGTTTAGGGAAATTTAAATGACACTGCAACACAAATTAGTTTGTGATTGTGAAGTAGAAAGTAGTGAATACAGATGCACTTTTAGGATTTAATCAGTGCAACAACTGACTTTCAAAAGCTGCAGAATTAATTCTAAACAGTATAAATAAAGAAAAAGGTTGTCTCAAGCCATGTAGCTGGAAAAGGAAACATGGAGAAGACAGTCCAAAATTGAGCTTAATAGTCTGCTTTCAAAATGCTATGTGTGCCACGGCATTTTATCACACTGAACATCCTACTCCAAAAGAGAAACATGGTGGTGGCACCATTATGCTGTGGGGATACATTTTTCAGTAATGACATAGAAAGTGGTCCAAGATGATAAGAAGATGAATTGGCCTGTAAGAAGACATTGATATTAACAAAAGCTCTTCATCCTACTAAAAAAACGTAAGCTTTTTTGTAAAGCAAAAGGGTAAAATTTTCAGTGTCTAGCTTTGCTAGTCTGACTTACTTCAAAAGACGTGTAGCTGTTAAAATGACAAAAAACAACCCAAGCTGTATTAAACTGTTGCAAGGCATTGTAATAGGATGCTGTTTTTACGGCTGGATCCTCGTTTGATTTAGTGAAACAGACATAACATTTATGTACCCTTGATATACACAACGAGAAGCCCCAAACCTCCTCGATGTGCAGTGTGAGGCCCAAAGAGCCATTTTTCCTGATTAAAATGCACACTCACACACACAAACCACTGCGTGAGAGGATAGTGGTTGTTCCGTCTGTCAGGACGTTCCCGCTCTCCAAGAGAATATCTGATATCATAAATGACTTCAACTCCTCCCACGCCAACATGACAGAGAGAGGCAGTGAACACAGGAAAAAGAGTGCAAAGCCACAGACAGGCAGCATTTTTGACTGAGCTGTGACAATCATACCATACACAGGATGGACAAAACTGCTAATAAACAATTTCTGGCACAATGACAAAAAAAAAAATCTAAAAAGGTTAGGGTAGTTATTGTTGCAAACATCTGGGGCAGCACACTAAAAGGAAGCCGTGCGACATATAAGTCTATCAACGCCTCACACAAACAAAAATAGGGAGGGAAACTGAGCAGGAAAAAGAGCTCTTTGACTCCCAAACAAAAGATATCAAGCCCGGCTGCCAGCACAGACAGGGCACCACACCTTGGCAATGATAACACTCACAATCAAAGGAACAGTCGTCATCAATGGAGCCCTGTTTTTAAAGGATATCTAAAAAGATTAAAATATGTCTCATTATGGAAAACAATTGAGCCTTGAGGTTTTTTATGTCTCTCACACGCACCTCAGGCATTTTCTTCAATACATGCGCACTAAAATATTTCCTGTTTTGATATACAACATTTAGCCTAATTAGAATACATATAAATAACTTTACACGCACACAATGCAAACTGTGCAAATAATCTCTGATGTGTTTAGTAATTTAATTTGGTAATCAAGAAAAATGTCAACAAAAGCAAAATAAATGATCTTTTAAAAAATATGACATCTTTAACCATATCTTGATTTAACGTATTAAAACAATCATAAAACATTTAAGAAGAAAAAAAAACACATTGACATAAGATAACAGTTTGGCAACTGAATCAAGTGTCTAAATGATTTCAAACAGTATGGCTCCAAAGATCCAGCAGAGGGGGCTGCTTACTGCAATCATATGCTGATTAATTGAGCTTGATTCTCCCCATGCTGTGAACATAAGTTGTCCCACACTGTAGGCTACATGTTGGTATGTGGGTAAAGGTTACAGAGCTTTATCAGAGTCACCTTTTACCACAGTTAGCCCTTCACATCATTTGTGATAAATGTTAAGAAAACATTGATTTTCTGATTATCCCTCATCAAGCCTATATCAAACTAGGTTATGTTCATTTTTATTAATTGTGCGTGTTCCTCTAATTAGCTAATGAGAGACAAAAAGCAGGTTTAGAGTAGAAAAATGCAAATGACTCTTAGAAAATAGCACAAAAAAAGTAAATGGCAAGGCTGAGAATCATCCTTCATTGAAATGTCAGAGATAAATGGCTCAAATGTCACATCAATTAAAACGGGGGACAGTTAGTAGTTCATTAAAGAGAGAGCCATATTGCACCGTCGGGTACCGTTGCCAACCCTTACTATCTGGGGCAGACTGGCAGCGGGTCCAGATGGCACGGAAATCCTCACAGATTTCAAAATGGTCTCTGCAGGGGTGGCGTTTTCTCCCCCCGCTCCCATCCTCACCGCTGAGATGGGGTGTGGGCCACAGGCCCATACCGGCCTACACATTCCAAACGGAGGCATGCAGAGAGCTCAAGGCTCCACAGAAATAAAAATTAACACGGTAGAGGAGAACAGACACTTAAAAAATTAAATGATTGATACCACACTCTTTTTTTATAAGTGCTTTGTATTATCCTGCATATCTTGATCAATACTGCTGCAGGCAGAATGAAGCAAGTTTGTCTGCTTTAGACAGCACAGACCTATAATAAAAGTATAAAATTGTGCTGTTTATAATAACACGGTGACTTTATTAGCTAATAATGCATGAGGGGTTATTGGTTATTGTTCTCATATAGATGTGGTTTATCCACAAACAATATGCCTAGGATTCTAAATCCCTCACAAAGAAGCTATCGCTAGAGATGCAGCACTTTTAGATATAAGCAGAGCGAAAACTGTGTTTGAAATTAATGCTAGAAATATGCAGTATTATATCTTTTTCATGGTGTATGAACATCAAGCAAATCAAATACATACAAGTCTTTGGTTTACTGTGGAGCCCCTAAAGAACCCCAAATCCCAACTTGAGACCTATTAGAGGAGTCTTCTATCAAATCTATAGAGCACAACTCCGTCCCTGGCAGGAGGTGGAGCGGTAACTTTGTACTGGCCAATTAGGGAACAGGAGCGGACTTTCCCGTGTTGTGATTGGATCGTTGGACCACGCTGCTGGAAGAAACAGGAAGTGTCATTTGTTGTTCACAGGAATGAAGATTGCACTATAGTCGGAGTATGAAAAAGACATCAGTTGTAAGCTACAAGACTAATAGATGTAACTAATTGAACTATAACGCTTTTTAAAAAGTAAACTTAGCTCTGAAATTGCTTCTTGTACTAAACATGGTCTCTGTTCGGATTCGGTTAGAAACTTTACTTAATTTTTGGACAATTTAAGCTCGTAGTTAAATCGAAGGTGCGTTTATGAAGGTTTGGGGCAAAACCTCACTTTCACAGATTACTGTGGATGTCTTGCGTGCTTCGGCATAAATTGTGTGATTTATTTATTTGTTTTTAAACGGCACATGTTGCATTTTCACACCTGCGCAGTCACGGTGAGCTTTCTGCTCAATTAATCACGCAGGTTTGACCAGGAGCTAGTCTAATGAGAAACCAGTCAAATGATTGACGAGCATGAGGAGTCTGCCAGCTATTTTTTTAACAACACAAGCTGCTTATTGTTTGTTGTTCCTCACCGTGAAAAGCTGGGTAAACATCAAGCATCCGAGCAGTCACTAAGTAGACCGAGTGTTACTGCGCCGAAATACGGCAGCACCAACAACACGATAGGACATTATTTTTTAATCAGCGCAGGCGATTAGCAAAGACCATTATTGCCAAAGTCCATTATTCTATCTTGCGAGTCTATTTGCTAAATGGCAGACAGTGTGTCCAACGCTTATCCAAAGTGCACTGTACCATTGTTTGGCTCAGAAAATTTCTCGCCTTTATTGTCAGTTCAGGCAAACCCCTGATGAATACAGTGAGAGCTGCAAGAGTAGAAACAAGAAAGTTGAAGCAGACGCATTTGTGATCACATACCATGACAGATGTGCTGGTGGTGATGTGCGTTTGTGTAGGGCGTGATGGGGGAAGAGATAATCTTAAAATAAAACAAACAGACCTTTAAACCTAAAAAAAAAAATACTAATCAGTGCAAAAAATATATTGTTGTCTTTCAGTTAGTGTTTTTCTATTATCACCCAGTGGTTCACATAACAATGATAAAAAACAGTCTTGAAATTGCTGAAGCTCACACTCTCAAAATCAGTCAATTGCTTGTGCTGCCTGACTAACAGTGCATAGCTTCCCAAAATTTTGTTTGCTGTCCCAAAAGACAAAGACTTTGAGAGACAAGTACAGTCGAGGTTGGAATCACAAACAAGATCTTTTTTTCCAAGCTAACAAAAAAAATAAAATAATGGTATGTTTAGGATAAGCACTCCAACTAAAAAAAATGTAGACATTTCAACATATGAAAGGTGTTTTAGTATCATATCAACAAATAGTGATATATTGCAAGACAATTTAGTTTTATGTACAAAAGTACATTTGTAATTTGTATAGAAATCTATTATCTCATGCAATCAGTGCATTCATCAACAGTAAGCAGTACAACCGAGATGTAGAAATGATACATAATTTGAGTTTAATCAAAATTAGAAGTATATATTTATATGTTTTTTTTTTTGGTTCTACAGAAGATAACTTAAGGTTTAAATTATTTTAAAAAAATCAAATATATGTACAGCTTTGTCTTTTAAATGCTGAAAAGTTGAAAGTGAATGATAAGTATTTTTGTATCATTTCAACTTTTCACATCAAGGTTCTTGGAAGTAAAGGTTGCTTGCAGTCAATGTGACCTTTATTTATTATAACCCCCATCTCTCAAAATCTCACATATAACATAGTCAATCATCTCTCAGTCCCTCAAAGTAAAAATAAAAAAGGAACTGCTGTCTGGTTATTGCCAGTATCCATCTCAGTCGTCAGAAAAGCTGCACGTTTTTGCTGTTGTTAAGGGCTGGAAACCAGAATCCCATTGGAGTTGCACCCTAAGGAACAAATTTAATGCTAGAAAAACATCCCGGCCATCAACCAAAAATGACGGATTGAAAATAATGTCGAGCTATCTTGGGAATCCCCCACCAGACAAGGGAACAGACTGCATTGTTTTTCTCATTTATGTGATATATAGAACAGAAAGAGAGGAAAAAATGGGCGATTTATTGGTTTGATAGGCGTATTCTATTCCATACACAAAAGAAATATTTGAGAATAATGCGGGGATCAAGTCACATCATGACATTGTTGGAAGGCTAGGTGTTCAGATATGCAAGTTATCTTCTGTTGGTGGCATGCTTGTTTTTCAATAGATCACTCAATGCAGATTTTTCATGGAAAATTGTGAAAGTTGCCGCATGAATATGTCAATAAGCACGGTGTAATTTGTTCTTCATCGGCAGGGCAGCGAGATAAAGAAGCAAGAGGAGAGCCGGTGCACTCAGAAGACCATCTCATTGCTGAGCCCCCTGGGGACGATCCAAGTCAGTGGATGTGAGAATGGTGTGCACACCATCCAGATCCTAATGGATGTCGCACCTGCTGAAAGGTACTGTACAACAGCCGGGCTGGTGACGTGATAAACAAAGGTGTGAAATTTACAGGCAGACAGAATCCACTCCTGTGATGGAGTGCCACCATTCCTCATTGGAAGCAGGGCATTTTTGTAGATCCCACAAGAAATATCCGGGAGAAAGTTGGGCAAATATGAGCAGGCACTAGAAATATGAGGGGCACTAGAATACTGTTGGGCTCGAAATTAGATTTCTGATGGCATGTGGTTGTGATTCTTCCTGCAGTATATTTGAAATTTCAGAAAAATAACTTGTTTATTACCCTCAAGGGAGTTGATTAGAAATGATGTCTGGGAGGTCAGCTAAGGCCACAGGGAGTGTGGACTGTTCTCTCCTGTTTCTTTATGTTTCATTCAAGTTGTATGCAGTAGTTTGGAGTGTCAACTGACACTCAGAAATGTGTTATGTGGTTGCATTTCATGGCCTTCCCATCTCTCAAAATTGTCAGAATGTAGACATTCTTACTGAAGCGACTGAAACTGATTAAAGTCAGCACTGGTAGATACTTATTCCTTAGTTTTAAAGGTCCACGTCCTACATCTTAGATTAGTTTTGATTAGATTGAAATTAAATATCCATGTTTCACAGATTCGCATTTGATAAACTTGAATGATTTGGGAAATTAAACCATTTCAAATGCATCCGGATAAGAAGTTATCCCTTTCAAAATGTCCGTTTAAATTCTAATTTATGGAAACCCATTAATGACCTTGTATATTACACCTCAACATGTGTTTCCTCCTCGACTGTCTGCTATTTCCCAAAATTCATCAAGCAGCAAAAACACTCCACTTGTTGTTAATGAGTTGAAGTGAGAAAATTAATAATATGGAATTTTGATTATGGAAGATGTCCTGTAACCATGTGCAGGCATCTTTCTCCATCGACTTGCGAACGGGGTTTAATTTGTGCGTTCAGGTTCAGTAGGAATATGCAAATGAATTTAATGATTCGCATCACTAGATCATTTCTCAGTTTAATATCATTTGCGATGTCGGTCATAAGTGGGAGCGATCGCATCACTGTCTATATGTTCTCCAAGGTGTGAGCAAGAAATCATTAGGCAAATGTTTAGATTTTATCTTGGCCAGTTGAATATGCTGTCACTGTTGTAGGAGATGGCAAAGCATAGCCACCTCAGATATGTTGAGTTAGTCTATGTAAACAGGCATTAAGGGAGGCGAGATAAAGTGACAAAATACCGGCTTATCTTCGCAACCGGCTTTCCATGTAGATCTTAGAAAAGCCTGGCTGTAGCTGTAATAGTTTAGATCAGGCATTTCCATTGATTTATTTATGACATACTAAACAAGGCTCTTCCCAGCTTTGGGTGTGGTGTTGCACAGGCTTAGGAAGTCACTGTGATAAATGACCTCTAAGAACATATTTTGGATACGAAAATAGATAACATCCATGCATAAAACAAAGAGAGACCTACAGTGCATTTATAGGTTTACAGAACCATGTAAAAAAAATTTTGTTTTTGTGTGTGAGTGTGTGTGTGTGTGTGTGTGTGTGTGTGTGTGTGTGTGTGTGTGTGTGTGTGTGTGTGTGTGTGTGTGTGTGTGTGTGTGTGTGTGTGTGTGTGTGTGTGTGTGTGTGTGTGTGTGTGCGTATTGCCATGGCAGCTAAATCAACACCATGGTGGGTCTGAATCCCTTGCAGTGTCAGGTCAGATTTCTTCTACCAAACAGGAAAACTTAGATATTTGTACTGTTGCATAATTGACCCTGTTAATTTAACAACTGGAACTAATTAAAGCAATTTAGTGGACAGGCTACCACAGTAATAAAGAGACAATTGGGATCCCAATTTTATACCCTTGCGCTGCCATTTTGTTTGGACATGTAAAAAAGATTGTTCACACCATATACCTTATTTACTGAATCCCATTTTTAAATTAATTTATTATTTTTATTTATGCTCTTGTTAAATTGTGATAAATACTAAGGATGTTGTAATGTGAAAGTACAATTAGGATAGTCGGGTCTTAATTACTTATTATTACTTATTATTTGTACTAGAGTTATCAAAATAATCAATATTTTCAAATAATAAACATATAAGACAATTTTTAAGGATACTCAGTTTCATCAAAAGTGGTAGAGACACATTTCCAACTCCCAAAGTTGGAAATAAGTAGGAATATGCTTGGAGAAGAGAATTTTTGACTCATTAGCTGAAAAGGCAAATGTTATTCTTAGGTATTTTGTGGCAGATGGACAGGAAAGCCAAAGAACACCAACAAGCCATGACGCTTTGCTACAGAGCAGGAACTGCAAGAGCACCATAAAGGCCAAAACTTTGATGTTGGAGAAAGATTTAAAAAGGTCAGTAATGCTCACATATCCGCAACAACGAAGGAGTGAACATGCCTGATGGGATGACCTAGTATTATCTCGATGTTTAAAATATTAAAGATTGAGAAGTGTTTCCCACCACAATGTGACTCCATCTGACCATGTGTATAGTTTCATACCCGGTGTTGTGGCTGAGCGAGAAATAAAAGTCAAACCGTCTGGTACTCCTCTGTTTCAGGTGTAAAAGAATTAGCAGCTAAAAATAAACAGCAAGCTTAAAGAAATGTTAGATCCAAACTGAACCAGATATTTCAAGAAAAAACTAATCAGAACTATTTAATGTACACATTCCATAAAACAAACAAAAACTTCTATTAAATATGATCTCTTCTTATGTTTTTCCAAAGAGGAAAAACAGTGTTTATTTTCTAAGTAAACGCTGAATTACCTAATGTCTAATGGTTTTGTCTCAATTAAACTAACATTGGCTCTACATGTAACTTTTTTGTTAAAAAGAATACAGCAACAAGTCATACCAGAAAAGTAAGGTACACAATACTGAAAAAAAAAAAAAATGTTACGTGCTGATCAGTTTGTCTCTTTGTATGACGCCCTTTTTTGGGCATGAGTTGTAGCTGACCCCTGCAGGACATTTTTTAACCATGATTCCTGCTTTGAAACCCATCAATAGGAGTTCATTTTCTGTGACTTACTCTTAATCTGCTGTAAGGAAATGTGCAGTCAACTCACCCAAGGATCAAAACCAGAATAAATTAAAATTAAAATATTCGCAATATTTAAAATAGGTGCTATTTTGAATTGGTGATGAGCCAAAATAGCAGCAATGGTAAACAAAGGAAAGCAGAAAGACAATTATAAAAGAGGAAAAATAATAAGATGATTTAAGGGTAATACTTTTAAGAATATTGTTTGGTGTAGGAGCAGCTTGAGCACAAACAAAAAAAAAGCATTTCTGGCATTGATAGATAGATATTGATAAATGCCATTATACGTACCTAAACGCCCTTGAAGTATTGCTTACACACCGTGTCCGTCAGCTCTTTATAATAGAAATGTCTCAAGCCCCTTTTGCTTCCTAAATGATCTAAGAAGCATTTCCTGAAATCAGCCTCCTCTGCCAGTCTAACGACAGCCCTGAAGGCGCCATCAGATGAACAAATTCATTACATCTCAACAACCCCTGTTGGGGCCTTAACACACCAGCCTTCCTTTTAACCATTTTTACCCCTTTTTAGGTTCTAGCATTGCCTCGGCAGTCACAGAGGAAAGAAAAAAGAAAAAAAAAAGGTTTGCATTTTGTTTACAGGAGATTACTGCTATCTGAAATATGATTCTTCTTGCCTCATTCACACAGAGCACAGACATGCAATACAGAGGAAATCATGGAGCACTTTTTTATTAGGGTGAAAAATGAAAAAAGGTCTGGACTCCTGCCCCGAGACATTTTGTGAGCATATTATTTTACAATGCTTTGATCAATTTGTCTGTCAAGCTGGCTGAGATGTGGGGGAGTGGGAAAAAAGCAATTTAGCTTGTGAGGTCCTCAATAGAAATGTACTACAGGAGCTGGTGTATGACATGTTGCATTAGAACCTGAGTAGCCTTTATTGCCTGATAATGTCGCAAGGCAATGCTGATATCAATCACCCTTTAACAGCCGTATGTGATGTGTTTTTATGAAAAGAAAAAAAATAAAGTATGAAGTATTTCTTGGAAAATAATTGATTTAATTCTGAGCTGGGGGAGTTCTTGTTTTAACAACATAAAAATGTTGAATAAAAAAAAAAAAACTGGCACAAAATGTGTTAGAAGCTAAAAATTGTTAAGAACAAGCTCTGCATAAGCCTCTATAGAAAATTGTAATTAATTTTACACGGATAAACACTTCTCTCTCATTTGCATATAGATATAAACAATATATTTGTGCATGTGAATTCCCTGCACACTCAGGTCATGTGATCAGCCTAAAATCCTAAGTGGCTAAAACCAAAATTATCATTATACTTACCAGGCCATAAATCCCCACCACCAACCCCCCCTTTTTTCTCTGACACAAAGCCTTATAAATCTGTGTCTGATTTTTTTCACATTGCACATTGTTTTTAGTTAATGATTTTCATCTGTTTGTTGTTGCTGTGATAGCGGGGAAATGTACCATATGCTCCGGCAAAAGACAAATGATTAGCAAATGAAATTCTGGACAGCTGTCTGACTGAAAGCGTTTGGTTGATAGCATTCTGCTACCATAATTAGCTTAAGCTTTGGGTTAATTAACTTTCTACCTGGATATGCATAATAATAGCATTCTGTAGAAAGCCAAGGAGCTTTCCAGTATATCAGCTGCAAAGGCTTGCTTTTTTTTTATTATTATTTTGCATTTCGGCGGCATATTTCAATTTCAAGAGGCGATTTAGCTCGGGAGCCTCGTCAAATATTGTAGATTTTACTCCCCAAGCCAGATAATTCTGAAACAATAGAAGTGCATTATGGGGCAGAAATGCCATTTCTGAATGCAATTAAAGCGGATGAAAGCAATCACAAATTTTTAAACGCCTTTGTCTAGCATGAGGCCTACTTAAAAAAAAAAATAACCATCAAGAGGAGAAAAGAGGCAGGAGAACCCCCAAGTCCTTCTATAAGAGGCCTTTGAGACTGAAGTGAAGTACAACAGTAATTAGTCTTTTGTATGAATTTGCTGGCCATGGTCATGATTAGTTAAGCATATGAGAGGACTGCAGGACTGCACTGTTCTTAAGGAGGAGGGTGTTAAAGTCTATTTATCACCAGTTATCCTCACAGCTTTCCATTATCACCGACAACACTGGATGGGGCCTGAGAACAGCCTAATTGTTCTGAGGTGGAGTGTTTTTGTGTCAAACCCGTCACCCCAGTCGCATTGGCATTCATAAGCAGCCAGACATTTTCCATCTACCCGGCTCTAATACCCAAGCTGTCACAACAGCTTTTACACACTACCACTGCTGGTGTGAAATATCTGAGGTGATGCATTTATCGTTTTTCTCACACTCGTGTTGTGTTGTGAATCAATGTCCTGCTTTGCGCTGAATAGTGGTATGGTAAATGTGTTTCCCTGGTTGGGGTCTGTTTACATGATGTGCTCACACGTCGGGAAACCATAACCACAACTTATTTTCCACTACGGTTCCTTTCTGGATCTGTTCTATTTAATTTGTCCAAAGGCTTTGCCAGACCAATTTTAGGATGTGTTGTGTCCTGGTAAACTTCCTTATTAGATTTTAATCAAACATCACAAACAAGTCCCTAAGATCCACTTTAAAAGATAACAGAGAAAGTCTAAGCTTGAAATGAAGATTTAAAAGAATAAGCACGACTAAAGAATTGTGTACAGTACTGTTTTTTGCAGTTGAGAAATCAGAAGTACCATAATTGTGAATATGTTGCTGAAAATTTATATAATTATGGCAATATTAGTCACAGTTGACTCATTTTTGTTAGATTTTATTCTTCCTCTTTTTATATCTGCTTTTGCAATTTTCTCAGCAGTCTCTGTTAACTTAAAAGTTTCTAAGGCAATAAAATACACACAGGGTGTGGTCATGGAGGGTCCATTTCCCTGGCCAAAAACATTAGTCATATACTAAGGGTCAGTGAACGACAGTTCAACTCTAATAACTTTCTGAGCTACAAGCCAAAGCATTTCTTTGCAATTGCAATATTGCACACATTGATTATGCGATGATAACGTGATGTGATTTATTGCGCAACCCAAATATTAAGTAATGATAATATTCTAACAGTATTTTATTATTTATTTTATTTATTTACTATTTTATTTATTTAGTATTTTAGTATCTTAGATTGAAAAAGTCTTGGAGCTGGTGGCTGAGAGCAATTATATTTTGTGAATCTGCTGTTCTCTGCTGTGTTTTCGCTTGTGTATTGACACCTCTCTGAATTTGGAGTATATAGATAAAGCTAAAATACTAGAACAGATATTTGATTTCAAAAAGTGTGTGCATATGACTAGACCCAAAATACATGCACTGAGAAGGGTGTAAGTAATTTTTCCACATGCCATCAGAGCTAATTGTACTCCAGTACCAGTGATGTTGTCTGACTTGAAATAACACAGACAAGTGAGTGACTATGTGTTGAAAAATGGTGACAAACCTTTGGTTCATTCCATCTTTCTTTCTCCATCATCACATCAGCTTAACACATAAGCTTAATGTTCACTAAAAGGCAGACTTTAGCGATAACTGGGAGTCCTCTCAAATAAACTTATATGCTAAAGTAGCTGCTATATTTGGACATTTGGGTTAGGACTTTATTATTACATTTTTTATCTTGTACCAGTCTTTGCCTGGCACAGTCTTTCTTTGTCTAAATACACTTTTGTGTGCTAAATAAAGTGCTTAGATTTGTAACTAAAATGCTTCGTCATACAAACTGCAAACTGCTGAAATATTGAATGAAATCATCAATGAAGCAGCGGGGAGACTTTTTGACGTACTCCCTTTAGAAAAGATATATGAATTATTCATTGTGCAATAATATTCAGATGATTTTTTGTTCTATTTTTATGACCGCCTCAGAATATTGTTTTGCATGTTTTGAAATGTAGTACTCAGCTGCGTATTCATTAAGGTGCTGCTCCCACTGGCCCTTGGACCCATCTGTGCTCTATGTTTGTGCCCCCGTCTCCTGGGATCCTCCCAATCAGGCTGCATGTGCCATTTCCTGTGTAAACCAACACCTGTGCAACACACTACCTGTAAACCGCCCCACGCAGAAGAGACATTGACATTCGCTCTGATAAAATTCTGCAAATGTTGTGGTTTTCCAAAGTAGAACCTCCAGGGTGAGCCCAGGAGCCAAATGAGAGTTGCCGCTCAGAACTAAAAGCAGCTCCTGCAGTTTTTGTTCCCCCTCCCTTTTCCCTGCTGTCGACCGTGAAGTTTCTCCAACATGAGGCAAGTTTGTTTTAGAACTTGATTGGATTCTGTATCTGCAACGCACAGAAGTGT